ATTTTTCCCAAGATCCAGCTAATAGTATTTAGGATGTGCCAGGTGCTCTGCTAAGCGTTTTACCAGAACACTTACTTTCTCTCATTTAAATGATCTCCACTATATGAAAGACAAAAACCAGAAGTATCAGAATTGGCCCATCATCTTCAGTGGTCTGTGCCTGGTAGAACTAGACTTGAAGTCTGTTGCTTTTATAATGTCACAGTACTGGGTGTCCTTTACCGAGTTTAATGAGATTCTTTTATTTGCAAAATCCTAGGGAATTCTTTAGAGCTTCTAGGTCAGTGGTTCTCAACCTGTGGGTCATGACACCTTTGGACTATATTAAAGGTTCTTATCATTAGGAAGGTTGAGAACCACTGCCCTAGGTTTTCCCTCTGGCTTTGCCCAGATTAGCAAATCTCCTAGAAATAGTGAGATTCTCTGGCAAATTTCCAAGCATTTGAATCTCTTTGGAGTTTAAAGAGTATTTATTACAGGTATAGAAATGTCCCCTGAGATGCATGAAGGTTAGTTATATCCAAGTAACTAAGAATGCTGGGCCTCCGGCTTCTTACTTCCTTGGGTTTGCGTGACTTCCCTGAGTGCCTAGACTACTCAGCTGAGCAGCAGCTTTCAGCTCTCCTAGCTTCTGTTGGAGTCGTCATTGTGTTCTCATTAGATGTAGGTGTTTTCTCTTTTTTGAAGATTGCCTTTAAGAAAACATTTTGTATTTTGGCAGTTTTGGTTTCCAAAAGGTTAATATTCAGATGTTCTAAGTATTCCCTGTGTGTTCCCTCTGACTTCTTGATATTGTATCCTTGATTGTCCCTTCTTCCTTCCTTAAGATTGTGCTGTTTTTCTGATTCTCCAGCCCCTTCTCCACTTTAAAACTAAAGAGCAGCACCTGGGATATTCCAAGACATTTCTCTTTTTCTCCCCAGCTCATCTAGATCCACCAGTGTGCTTAAAGGTTTGCCAGGATTGAGATTTTACATTCTGTAAGTGGCTCTAGGTTTGCTGTCATTTCTTTTCACTAGACTCATTTATGTCTAATTTTTAATTTCTGCTTTTCTCTTTTTCTCTTGATCTATGCATTATTTGTTTGTTTGTTTTGAGACAGAGTCTTAACTATGTTGCCCTCGGTAGAGTGCCATGGTGCCACAGTTCACAGCAACCTCAAACTCTTGGGCCGAAGTGATTCTCTTGCCTCAGCCTTCCAAGTAGCTGGGACTACAGGCGCCTGCCACACGCCCAGCAATTTTTAGAGAAGTTTGGCTCTGGCTTAGGCTGGTCTTGAACTCCTGAGCTCAAGTGATTCACCCACCTTGGCTTACTAGAGTGCTAAGCTTATAGGAATGAGCCACTGCTCCTGGCCTGTTTCTGTTTTTTAATGGAGACAGGGTCTCACTCTGTTGCCCCAGGCTAGCGTGCCGTGGCATCGCCCTAGCTCACAGCCTCAAATTCTTAGGCTTCAGGGAAGCTGCACTACAGGCACTGGTCCTAATGCCCAGCTAGTTTTTCTATTTTTAGTAGAGATTGGGTCTCTTCTTGCTCCGCTGGTCTGGTGAACTCCTAAGCTCATGGAATGCTCCTGGCTTGACATCCCAGAGTACTACGATTATGGGCGTGAGCCACAACATCTAGCCTGTTGTCCTATATGTTTTAAGTCCACACTCTGATTTCTTCACTTGGAAACTAGTTCCAGTAGTTTCTCTACAACTGTTTTAATAACATGCTTTGTACTTAACTCGTCTGTAAAATGGGTGTAATGCCAGTCTTTATCAAAGTAGTGTTGAGGAGCAAAGGATCACTTATCTAAGCACATTTGTAAAACAACAACAAAAAAAGATTGAGTTATGAAAAGGTATTACTTATGGGTGGCACCTGTGGCTCAGTGGGTAGAGCGCCGGCCCCATATACCGAGGGTGGAGGGTTAGAACCTGGCCCTGGCCAAACTGCAACAAAAAATAGCGGGATGTTGTGGGAGGCGCCTATAGTCCCAGCTACTCTGGAGGCTGAGGCAAGAGAATCGCCTAAGCCCAGGAGTTGGAGGTTGCTGTGATCTGTAACATCATAGCACTCTACTGAGGGCAATAAAGTGAGACCTGTCTCTTTAAAAAAAAAAAAAAGAGCGAGAGAAGGTATTACTTATAATTGATTTACTGTCCTTTATTTCAAGCAATTTCAGATGAAAAGACATGGTGCAATTTCAGTGTTGGTTATAATAGGATTTGCTGTGTATCCTTTTCACCCCTTTAGTCACCTTTTTTTGTTTTTGGAGACAGAGTCTCACTTTGTCACCTTGGGTAGAGTGCCGTGGTGTCATAGCTTATTGTAATTTCAAACTCTTGGACTGAAGTGATTTCTCTTGCCTCAGCCTCCCAAGTAGAATGCCCGGCTATATTTTAGAGATGGGGTCTCGCAGTTGCTCAGGCTGGTCTCCAACCTGTGAACTCAGGCAATCTACCTGCCTTGGCCTCCCAGAGTGCTAGGATTATAGGCATGAGCTACCACGCCTGGCCTTCCTTTAGTCATCTTTTGGATTATTCTATGAACCCTTCCCACATTTTCTGTGGATATCATTGAATGTTGTAGAATCTTAGAGGGTCCACAGTGAGCTCTAAAGAGCTTTTCCCACATACCTCTATTCAGTTCATTGTTAGCCTTTCGTGGACTCAGGTGCAGGCAGTTAGCAGATAGGCCCTTCAGAGCTGAGCTCTCCCTCCTGCGGTGCCTCTTGGTTTTCCCTGAGGCATGCTGATTGCTCCTGGGTCTGTGGAACTGCTGCCCTGCTGCTTTCTCCAGTGCCCTCAGAGGCCTTTTTCCTATGTTAGGCTGACAAATTAAATGGTCTCAGGGTCATCTGGGGCCAGTCTCGGAGCTGTGTACCCAGGCTGTGTCAGAGGAAGCTTGGCTTAAGTATAAATGAACCTGTCAGAGCAGAATCCGATACCTCAGAGGTCCTAGAGTCACCTGGGGAAGATAGGTGAAACTTGACATGCAGTGCTCACTCCCTCTCTCTCCTCATAAACCCAGCGTGGTGATGAAATTTGGGATGGTAAAATAGGAGTGAGTTTAAAGATTACTTATCTGCCTGTACAGATTTGGGGGCTTGATGCAATGGTCTCAACAGATTTGAAGTCTGAGTCTAGTGATATGTCTGGGCAAATACGACCTCTTTCCACCTATAAAATGAGAAGAGAGAAACCTACCAGAAAAGTTTCTTTAAGCGTTTAAGTGAGGCTGCTCTTATTCAGTACCAGCTCCTGTGTGTTCACACTAATTTCTATATCCATAGAGCAGAGGAGATAGAATTGGAGTGTGATGGATGCAGAGGAGAGGGGGGTCACAAAGGAATGATTATTGTGGGAAGGTGATGAGAGCTATATTTGTACACCATGGCTAAGCAGTGATAAGAAAGCAGAGAGGTGTAAATGCCAAGGTGGGGGTTGAGAAGCAGGGAGGTTGAGGGAAAATGCCAGGGCCAGAAACGGAGAGTCCCTGTCTTATATGTCATGTTCCTGGCAACTAGGCATGACAACTAGCTTATCCTGTGAGCCTGCCCTTCTAGGATAGTGATCTACAGAGCTGGCAGGCCTTGCTGAGCTAGATACATGCAAAGTAGTGGTAGCAGTAGCTTCTGTCACACTGTTCAGTGTTCCAGGGAGGGATTCAGAGTTGAGGGTTTGGTCTGCACCCAGTACTTCCATAATTTACTCATTAGTCTGAGATGGTTAACATCCATGAGAGCAGGGAGTTGTCTTTGTCCCCCCTCCCATGTCTCTGGACATTGGTGTTAAGTAAATGTTTAAGCAAGTTGTCTTTGTCCCCCCTCCCATGTCTCTGGACATTGGTGTTAAGTAAACGTTTAAGCAAAAATAAAAGCATAATATTATTTCTGGAGCACATTGTCTTCCTCTGTTCATTAAGTGATGCCACTGATCTGAAAAGTTCTAAGACAAGTCTGGACAGCTCTTTTGGAGGAAGACAGAATGCTGGGTGTGAATAGGGCAGGTCTTTCAGAACTGCTTCCTGCCGTGAAATAATTGTGCTAAAAATTTTTAAATTACTGGCTAGGTGTGGCGGCTGGCACCTGTAATCTGAGCACCCTGGGAGGTTGAAGGATAATTGCTTGAGCTCAGGAGTTAGAGACCAGCCTGAGCAAGAAGAGACTGGGTCTCTGCTAAAAATAGAAAAAAATAGCCAGACATTGTGGCAGGCCCCTGTAGTCCCAGCTACAACACAGAGGCTGAGGCAAGAGGAGTGTCTGAGGTTGCAGTGAGCTATGATCACACCACTACATATACTCTTAGCCTGGGTGACAGAGCAAGACTGTCTCAAAAAAAAAAAAAAATTGAAATTAGTTGCACGTGAGGTTCAACTAAGTCATGCAACTGGTATATGGACTCCTGGTTCAGTGCTTTTTCCACTCCCTGACTCAGAGATCTCCTTGCCCCTAGGCCAGGCCCTTAAGCAGGGTGCCCACTCCTCAGCGGTAGTTCCCTGTCCCATCCTGAGAACCTGCTGTGCATCAGAACCTTTACAGAGAGCCTGATCTGTGTGCTGCTGTGAGAGGCGAATAGGGCTTCCCCAGGGAGGCGGACGGGAATTAATTTACAGAGTCTTCTGCTGTCAGGCACTTGTCAGGGCCCTGTAATCATGTCAGTATAGCACGGTCCAGGGGTCCTCTCCCCGACTTTACCCTCACAAAGAGGCTGAGAGGTTGAAGTAACTACTTGGGGGCTGAAAGCTGGCGGGAGTGGAAAGAGAGGGCCCGGGGAAGTGGCCAGCCCGTGCGGGGTCCAGAGACCCAGGCGGCGACGCCCACACTCGGGTGTGGGCGCGGGCGCAGGGGCCTCTGAGGGTGGCGCCCTGAGGTAGCCCTTGAGAGCCCCTGGCGGCGGGTCCTCACTGTCATGGGGCGGGCTCTGGCTCCTGGAGAGGCCCCGCCCCGGGGCGCTGGTTTAAAGCCCGGAAGGCGGCGGGAGGCTTCGCAGGCTTGGAGCGCTGGAGCAGCCATGGCCTGGCAGGCTGCCGGCGCTCAGCAGCTTGGCGGTCTACTACTTGTCGCCCTGCTTGCTGCCGGCGTTGCCCCGCTCAGCGAGGCTCTCCCAGAGCCCTGTAGCCAGGCCGGCAAGATCCGATTGCACCCGCGGGGCAACCTCTGGGCCACCGGTAAGGCTTTGGGGACCCGGGCAAACTCCCTTCACCTTGCCCAGACCCCATTTTCCTTCTCAACCCTCTGACCGCTCCTCTGTCACAGACATTAGTGTGCGAGTAGGTGAGGACCCTGGAGTCATTTAATTTAGTAGATGGGAACTTGTAAGACTCGGGCAGATCAATGATTTCGTTAAGATTACTCAGCCAGTTTGAGGCACAGCTGGGCTAGAGCTAATATGATTGCCAGCTAGTACCTCTTCCCTTTGCCGATGCACCTCTAGTGTGTCTTCTCTGCACCCCCCACCTCCAGGCACGTCTTCTCCACTTGTTCCTTCCCCTTCCCGACAGACCTGTGCCGAGCAGACCACACGCTAGCAGTTTCTTCCAGGTCCCGGACCATCCCGCCTTCCTTCCAGCTGTACCATCCTCTTCACCCTCCACCTGTTTATGAACAGCTGAGGTAGCATGCTTAGCTGCTACCCTGATGTCTCTGTCATATCTACCTGCTGTGAAAACTGAAATGTAGGAGAGATGGAGAACTTTCCCACTGGAGTAGGATTCTCACTCCCTGACTTCTTTGTCCCCGGGTACCTCCTTTTTAGGTCACTTCATGGGCAAGAAAAGTCTGGAACCCTCTAGCCTACTCCCATTGGGGACAGCTCCCCATACTTCCTTGAGGGACCAGAGACCACAGCTGAGTTACAGTCTGCTCAGGATCTTCCTGCTAAAGAAAGCTCTGGGCATGAGCCTCAGTGGCCCAGCACCCTACACCCAGGTGAGCCAGGCCTCCACCTCATAATAGCAGGTTTCAGCCAGGGCCGCCCCTGGACCCATCATGGGAGGAACTGCCACCCAACATTGGGTTTAGGATGTGACCATCCAACCAGGACATGATGGTGAAGACTCCAGAAAGCCAAGGCTCCAGGCTGTCCCTATGTTGCAGGGCTCAAAGGGGGGAACTTTTAAGAAAGGAAGCTGACCATCCCAGCAGACCCCATGGAGCCAGAATTAGGGGAAGAAGTTCCTCAGGTCTTGGACTAGGATTGTCCAGCCATTTTCTCGTGGCAGGATCTTCCTACCCTAGACTACTGTCACTCTAGCTGTGCCCTGCTGCATTAACCAAAGCCACCCTTGCTAAGCCTGTGTGTGCTTCTGGCCAGGCTGGGACCCTGACGCCCAGAGACGGAAAGAGAAGTCACTTGGCAGCCAAGACACAGCACACACCTTGTTCACCTTGACCACTGCGCTTTTCATGTTCTCATCTGCTTTGGTGCCAGTGGCAGCATTTCATCAATTCCAGCACTCCTGACATTCTGGCGTGGGTAGTACTTTGTTGTGGGGGCTGTTCTGTGCATTGTAGGATGTTTAGTAGCATCCCTAGACTCTACCCACTAGATGCCACTGGCACCTTCCCTCCCTCTGACCCCCAAGTTGTGCTAACTAAAAATGCCTCCATATATCACCAGATGTCCCCTGGGGGAAAAGGCCCCAAATCACTCTTGGTTATAAACCACTATGGGGGTTCAAGGCCTCAAAGCTGGATCCAAACTTGCCTTTAATGTCTAGCCTAGTTTAGGAGCTGCTGCTTCATTCTCTGCTCCTAGTGCTGTCCCCAACTGGGTACTACCCTCCCTGGCACTGTAGCTGTGTACGGAAGGCAGTGTGATATGGTAAGAGTGTAGGATCTGGCAACAACATGCTGAGTTTATAACCTAGCTACTTAGTAGCTATGGGACCTTAGAAATGTCACTTAGCCTGTCTAAGCCTCATCTTCCTTGTCCATAAAATGAAGATAATAGGCCATCTTCCATTAAATGTGATCATATATGTCCCATGCTCAGCATGCCTGGCACATAGAATGCCCTTAATACACAGAATCCTTACCAGTCTGTCCCTGGCAGCACCTGCTGCTGACTCACCTTTGTACTCCACTGTGTCTAGCATATAGTGTGGACATTTTGAAAAAGGGAAGGACGTTCCTTACATCCCTGAGGGACTGAGATGTAAGGGCCAGGTGCTTGGGTTGGGCTGAAGGGAGATGTCACCTCTAGGCCTGAAACATGCAGACCAACCAAGAGAATCTCAGAGGAAGCAGCCCCCAGTCCTGGGGGTGGGGCTTCGGAGTGAGGTCTGAGGCAGAGCTGGGGCTGGGAGAGTGAGGACACTAACTCCAACCCAGCATCAGGCACTGTACTTGGATTGACTTCCACGATCTTAACTGTCATGACTGCACTGTGAGATTGGGGCAGTATTCTAGGAACACTACTGCCTCACCCTTCCCAGGCCTTTCTGGGGTGCTAGGGGGCCTGCTTCAGGCCCTCACAGCCTGTCTCTGCCCACCTCTGCAGATGCCTAGCAGTTAGGAATAAAAAAGGACCCCTATCATTTGCCCTCCCACCACAGGTAAATTCTGTTTTCTCTTCAGTACAGGACGCTGCTGATGCAAATACTGCAGAAGTGACGGCAATACTGGGGCAGACACGATAACATTGTGCCCACCCACGGAAGGTGGTGAATATGACCCTGGTGGTGGCCCCATCTGGATGTAAATCCCCAGCTCAAATCACTGTTACTCTATTACTATGATTTCTGGCTGGGTTGCTGGGAATATCACTGATGCAGATGCACAGTGTTGCCGCTGTATTTCTTGATTTCCTGTTGTGAATAAAACATAAAACTATCTAGTCTTCTCCTTCCAGCCACGTTTGAAAGGGATGGGAGGGAAAGGGAGATGTAGGGCAGGGCGTTCAGTGAGACGGGGCTAGCTTCAAGAAGCTCAGAACTCTCCATCTCTGGAACCAGCCTGGGTTTGGCTCTGGACTTCTCCCTCGGTGGCTGCTGTGTGCCTGGTCCCGTGCCAGGTGCCGGGTTCTACCCTCGCCTCTGCCACCTACTGGCACAGGCAGGTGTTTCATCTGCTTCCTCCCCAGGGAAAGGGGTCGCCCATGCTGCACTCCCGGGTGGTGTTCCCCTAGTCGGCGCTGCGTCCCAGCGAGTACAGGCCACACATGGAGACAGAGCCAGGTTTATCGGAGATTCGAACTTTACCGAGCTCTAAGCTGGCCTTAGAGCACTGACTGCCCCTCTCTAGGCTTCATGAGCCTGGTCTTTACACGGGCGACCATTTGGTCCCTCAAGCTCCCCTTGGGGCAGACACCGGGAAGCGGGGCTCTCCACTCACCGAGACTTGCTTGCCGAGAAGCGCGCAGCCGCGCTCACAGCTCGGCTCCGCCCCCAACGGAGGCCGCGCTGTGAAGCCCCAAAGGCGGAAGTGGGTTCCCGGAAGCGACGGTTACCATGGAGCCATCGGAGGACTGGCTGGTGGAATCCTTGCGCTTGTAAATCGGGTGGGGCTGGGAGACCGGGTCTGGGCCTGAAGCTGCTGCCGCGGGCGGATGGGTGCGGGTGGAGGCACGGGCGGAATTGCGGCGTAGACTGGTCTCGGCGCGGGCTGAGGATTCTGCCTGGGCCTCGGCGGGGACAGCTGGAATGGCTCCTGCCTGCGCGCGCAACTTGTGCAAGGAGCTAGTAAGAGCGGCGCTTGTGGAAGGTAGTAACATAAGCGACCAGTTACTTTGCGCCAGCTTCTGAGTAGGGCACTGAATGCAGATACTCATATAGATTCCTCACATCAACCTTGGGAAATCTGGGCACCCTGGGAGCTCCACAGGTGAGGTACCAGCCTCAGGGAGATGCCGTGACTGACCCGGCCCTAGACACAGGGTAAAATGGGAACACTCTTAGTGCGGCCTCCACCGGACCAGAACCTGTGCTGAGCACCGCACGCGCGGCTGCCATCTCGGAGTTTTTCGGCGTTTGTAAAGTGCTGTGCACCTTGTGATTTTGCGTCCCTGTCCCACAGGTATCAGGATTTCTTTGCATTTGACCTCTCAGGAGCCACTCGAGTCCTCGAATGGATTGATGACAAAGGTGATGTGCCCTGCCTGGCCCTAGAGGAGAGGGAATCCCACTCCTCAGCCCCGGCTTCAGAGCTTTGGTCTAGGGACCCATCCACTCTTCTCTGGGCTTCTTGGTCACTTGTAGCAATTTGATGCCCTGTTAGCTCTTAAATTCCTTTTACTAAATCTTTCAACCGTTATACAAGGCTGCACATCATTGGGGAAGGAATTTAGCCTTGCTTTGGGGGATTTGATTGGAGTTTATAGACTCAGCCATGGTCTTTAATCTTTCCAGCAATTTGTCACAGCTACTTCTGCCTCTTTTTCCAGGAGTCTTTGTGGCTGGCTATGAAAGCCTAAGAAAAAATGAGATTCTTCATCTGATACTACCTCTCAGGCTTTCTGTAAAAGAAAACCAGGTACCTTGAAATATAAATGCTCAGTATATGTGTCACCTTTTGTTGGGGAGCTCTTATCTCCAGGTATTGTCCTGGATACTCGAAAGAGAGAGGGACAAGCACAGGGTCTGCCCTTATAGTTTGATGGAGGAAGGCACATGTGCATAGAGATTAATACTATAGTATGCCCTGTGGTTTGCAGAGGGCTACTTGAGGAAGAAGTCAGTTTTGCTTTATCAAAAATCTATTTATTGGAGTTATTTACGGTACAAGTTAGTTGAAGCCCATAGAATGTTGAGGTCATCTATGTAGTGAATGTGTACTGTACAAGGAATAAGAGAAGATAGCCAAGGACAGACCCTCAGGGGACAGTTTAGAGGATGGACCAGGAAGATGAATTCATAAGGAATACTAAGAACGGTCTTTGACATGAAAGGAGTTTCAGAAAAGGTCAGCATTTCAGAAGCCAAGAGAATGTATCAAGAAGGAAAGAATTGGTAGCTACTTAATGTTGCCTCCTTCAGATGAGGATTGTAGAGTTCATTCACTGGAGTGGCAGTTGGAAAGCTTTTGGTGACCAATATTTTTGTGAATGGTGGTCAACCCAAAGACTGAAAAGGAAGAGAAAGTGGAATCAGGAAATAGAGGGAGGGAAGAAGCTAGAGCAGTAACTAGTAGGAAACATAGATTTAAGGAATGCTGTCCTAAACACGTAGGCTTTAGCAGAGTTACAAGCTGTGGGGAAGTAGGCCCTGAAGGAGGAGAGGATGAAAATTCAGGATTGAGGGTCTAACACAGGGAATCCACTTCTCCCTGTAAAGCTGGAGAATGAGTATAGATCAGGAGTCCATGGGATAGCATTACTCGTAAGAAAACAAGGGAGGGGTGAGGCATATAGGAAAAGAGCCTTAGAGGGCAATGTTGAGGCAGGAATTTGAGCTTTTATTCCTGAGTTTTCGGCTTTTTGGAGGCAACTTTGTTGCCCCCGGTGGTGCATAGCTCACAGCAACCTCAAACTCCTGGGTTCAAGAGATCCTCTTGCCTCAGCCTCTTGAGTAGCTGAGATATGGGAACTTGCCTCAAAGCTTCCCTACTTTTTCTATTTTAGTAGAGACAGGGTTTCACTCTTGTTCAGGCTAGTTTTGAACTCCTGAGCTCAAGTGATCCACCCACCTCAGCCTGCTGGAGGCTAGGATTACAGGTGTGAGGCACCGTGCCTGGCCTGTTCTGGAATTTCTAAAATTCTTTAATTAAATAAGAAACACAGTTATTTTAGAGGTGACCATGTTATGGAGTTGAGTCGAAGGTTTAGAAGAAGTGGCTAGATAAGAACATAAAAAGCCCAGAGGAGGCTGGGGCCTAAAGGATCCATATGTGGCCCAGTGTTTCTTAAAGTAGCCATAGGACCACCTATATCAGAGCCATTAGGAGTGCTGCCTAAATTGTATATTCCTGGGCCCTCTTCAGACCTACTGAATTAGAATCTCAAGAGGTAAGGCCTGAAAAAACAAGTTTGTACTCATAAAACATAGAATCTAGGGAAGCTATAGGGCAGCCTGCCCTTTATTGCTTTGTAGGGAATTTGTGGGGAAATTACCTACCTAGTGCTCTTGATCCCCTCCATTCTACTACTCAGGCTTGAGCCAGAGCTCACCCAGACTGAACCTTGGAGAGAGATGTGAATTACTCCCCCCTCACCACTGGCTTTTCCTTTTGTCTCTTAGGGCCCTCTGCTTTTCCTCTGCCTCCAGTTCTTTACGCAGAGATAGTAGAGTTGAGTGGCTAAGAGCATAGACTTTAGCTGGAACACACTTAGGTTCAGATTCACAACTTAATACCTGTGTGACCTTAGAAAAGTGGCTTAAGATCTGTGTACCTTAGTTTTGTCATTTATAGAATAGTGATAATTGTAAAACCTATGTTGCAGAGTGATTATAAGAATTAAATGTGATAAACTTCTGATCAATGCCTGACAGAGTGAATACTAATAAGTGGCTGTTGTTACATTTTTATTGCTAGTGGAACCCACCTGGCTTCCACTGGGAGAATGGGGGGAGAAATGAGTGATAGATCCCTGTTTTCTTGGGTGAAGCTATAAGCTTCTGTGACTCCTGTCTTCTTAAGGCCTGAAGTACAAGTTTTGTACTGTAGGACAAAGGGGTTGGTGAAAGGCTGAGAGAAAGGTTTTGGACGTGCAGGGGAAGAAAGGAAGCTGTGTATATAGATAGCTGAGATCACCATTTCCAAATAGCAACATGACAAGGCCTGCAGGGAGAAGTATCTATCACCAGCTGAACAACTTCTGTGGGCCCCTGTCAGGCCAAGATCTGACCTCCTTACCTAGAGTCCATCTGAAATGTTTGTGTGAAGAGCAGCTCTCTCTGACTGATTACCCCTCTTTATTGTAGGGCTTATTCCCAGAAAGAGATTTCAGAGTGTGCCATGGAGGATTTTCAGACAGGTCTGTCTTTGATCTGAAGCACATACCAGACTCCAGGTATGGTGAATTCTGTGATCTAGGCCTTCCATTCGGGATGGGATGGCTGGAAATGCCCAGAGGTGTCCTGCCTCTTTATCCCCACTCTTAGCACAGGGTGAGGAGTACACATGTGCACATGCATATACAGATTTAGAATACAAAGACACTTGCTGTGGCTTCACAGTCCCCCATAGCCCTTTTGACTAAAGTATCCAACAGGTCACTGGAGTTGTTCCAGACAATAGATGTAAGAGTGTCAGATGCTCTTAATTTCTGTGAGAGCTGATGGTGGGTAGCTAGGTGTTAATAGCTCAGTTGGAAGAGGCTGAGAGTCTCAGGGTCAGAGCTTTGTGTTCAGGCTGCACGCTAGCATCCTCTCTAGGTGACCATCATGACACATAGAAGAAGACTGAGCTCAGTCCCATGACTCTGAAGAGTGTGTCTGCCCCTCATTTGTTAATTACTGGTGGCTGGTCTTGATGATCTTCCTGCAGTAAGATTTCCCTGGTATGGGGAGTGGAGTCTCAAGCTGAGTGGGCTGGAAAGGGGAAGGGCCAAAGTGTCTGAATTAAGATTTTTTGTCTCTCCTGAATAGCTTGCTGGTGACCAGTGGCCTTCCAGGTTGTTATCTGCAAGTGTGGCAGGTCATGGAGGACAGTGGTGAGTAAATTTGATGTGGTGGGGGTTAAAATTGTAGGAGTATATGACTAACATACCCTCTTCCCCTAATCTGAGCCAGTTAAAAAGTAGATTCAGAGCCAGATGGGAATCAAAATATATAGTATTTACTTGGATTAACAACCACAGCATGGCATATAAATCCCAAATAAAGTTTTGAAATGTTGCCAAAGGGGTCTGGCTGCCTATCACTGCCCAGCCAATACATGGAGAAAGGGATAGGTCCATCAATCTTTATTGTCATAAGACCAGCAATTCTGGAGAATAGTGAGAGTAGCCTCTCCAAGACTGTTTGGCTTTAGTTACAAACACAGCAGTTTTTATATAAAGTTAGAATAAAAGACATCTAGTAAATTACAAGTTAATCCAAAACTTAATTTACAGCAACATCAAAGTAATCTTCACTCTAACAATGGAGCGCTATCTTTTTCCTCCTGGTGCTGTTACTCTCTAGGATTGTTTGCTCAATTCCTCAAGATATACATCTTTGGGGCAGTGCCTCTAGCTCAAAGGAGTAGGGTGCTGGCCCCATATGCCAGAGGTGGCGGGTTCAAACCCAGCCCTGGCCAAAAACTGCAAAAAAAAAAAAAAAAAGATATACATCGTTATGGCCCTGGGTCTGGGAGTTGATGCCATCAAGGAAAAAGAATGTTGCTTAAGCAGGGTGGAGGTCGGGTCATTTTGATTTTAAATCATTCCTACTTTATCCTAACCAACTCTATTTTCCTATTGCTCTTCATTGACGCTATTATCTACTGTTGGAGTTGAGTTCATCCAGAGAACTCTAGGCTTCTCCCATCGGCAGAGGCAGAGCTAGAGCTGCTCAGGTGAGCTTACTTGAAGGAGGAAGCTGTAGCCATGAGGTCATCTCTTCTTGCAGGCATGCTAGACCCAGCGAAGGAAAATAGTAAGCAAGAGGCTAGGCTGGCTAGTCTCCCACTCAGAGAAGTCATTTTGGTTCTCAACATGAAGGGAGAGAGAAGCAAGAAGTGTTAATCCTGTTCCTTCTGGGAGTGGAAGGGCATTCCCCATGGGGAAGAGTGTTCCCTCTAGCAGTGGGTATGTGGGTCTCCTGTCAGGCAGGCACCAGAGCAGCCCTCTGGCCTGATCCAGCCCCTTCCATTCCTCCTTCAGTTAGAGCATTGTTGGCTAGGATGAAGGGAGCCTCAGAGGCACAGGCAACTACTCTTGGAACTTTCCTTTCGGTTGTATGATCCTCTGCCCTCAGTCCCCAGGCGGCCTCACTTGGAAGCTTCCCAGAAATTGCCTGGCAGCTTCACTGCTGCAGAAAGGGAGTTCTTACTTTATCTTCTGTTTTATTTTGAGACAGCAACTTGAAACTCTGGAACTCAAGTGATTCTCTTGCCTCAGGCTTCCAAGTACCTGGGACTATAGGCACCCACCCAAGCCCTGACTATTTTTAGAGACAGGGTCTCACTCTGGCTCAGGCTGGTCTCGAACCTGTGAGCTTAGGCAGTCCACCTGCCTTGGCCTTCTATAGTGCTAGGATTACAGGCATGAGCCACTGTACCCAGCCTCGAGTTCTCATTTGCTTTCCGAGGTCACTGTGGGCTTTCCTTGTTGTTTTCCTTGTCATTTGTCCTGTGCTATGGCATACCTGTGCTATGGTAGTTTATATTTTGTATAATTTTATCGAGGTATGTTTTACATATCATATAATCCACCCATTTAAAGTTACAATTCAGTCACTTTTTAGTAAATTTAACAAGTTGTGCAGCCATCAGTTTTGTTTTTTGTTTTTTGTTTTTTTTTTTTTTGAGACAGAGTCTCATTATGTCCCACTCGGTAGAGTGCTATGGCGTCTTAGCTCACAGCAACCTCAGACTCTTGGGCTTACGGGATTCTCTTGCCTCAGCCTCCCAAGTATTTGGGACTACAGGTACCCGCCACAATACCTGGCTATTTTTTTGTTGCAATTGTTTAGCTGGCCTGGTTTGGGTTCGAACCCTCGATCCTAGATGTATGTGGCTGGTGCTGTAACCACTGTGCTGTGGGCACCGAGCCTATAATCAGTTTTGGTACATTTCATCATCTTGATAAGATCCATCATGCCATTTATTTTTTATTTTTATTTTTTTTAGCCAGAGTCTTACTGTGTCGCGGCATCATAGCTCACAGCAACTTTAAACTCTTGGGTTTAAGTGATTCTCTTGCCTCAGCCTCTGAAGTAGCTGGGACTACAGGCAGCCGCCACAACAGCTGGCTATTTTTGTTGTTGCAGTTGTCGTTGTTTAGCTGACCCAGCCTATGTTCAAATCCACCAGCCTGGGTGTATATGGCTGGTGCCCTATCCACTGAGCTACGGATGCCCAGCCTAACTCTTTTTACCTACTGTACTGCTTACAGAGGTCCTCAAACTTTTTAAATAGGGGGTCAGTTCATCGTCCCTCAGACCAATGAAAGGCCAGACTGCGGGCCCCAGGACGAGTTGGCTGTTAAGCAGGCCAGGCAGTGGCAGCAGCAGCAAAAACACCCGGCGGGCCAGATAAATGTCCTTGGCCGGGCGCACGTGGCCTGCGGGCTGTACTTTGAGGACACCTGGTGAGGTCCCTCCATGCCATAGCATGTGTCTGTAGTTCCTTTTATGACTGAATAGCATACCATCCTGTGGATATAACATTCTGTCTATACACTCACCAATTTGATGGAGCCACCTTTTAGCTATTATTAATAATGTTGCTAAGAAATTAATGTACAAATCTTTGTGTGGACATGTTTTCATTTCTCAGTAGACACTGAGGAATGAAATTACTAGGTCATATGGTTAATTTATGTTTGATTTTTAGGAAACTTTCCCCAAATGGCTTCATTTATATCCCTGCCAGCATGCAGGGGCATCTAACCTGTGGCCTTCAGGCCATATGTAGATTATGTGAGGACGTTTTTGCTTACCAGTGGGGACAGAGATCACGAAAATTATGCATGGACCTCTTCTCTTCTTTTTTGCTTGTCAGCTTTCATGTTTGTGTATTTAACATGTAGTCCAAGACAACATATCTTCTTCTATTGTGCAGCAGAAGTTAAAAATGGTTGGACATCCCTGAGGGTTCTCAGTTTTCCATCTCCTCACCAAGAGCTGTCAGTGGTGTTTTGCTTTGTTTTTGAGGCAGAGTCTCAAGCTGTCACCCTGGGTAGGGTGCCATGGCATCATAGCTCACATTAACCTCCAACTCTTGGGCTCAAGCAATCCTCTCGCCTCAGTTTTTCTGTTTTTAGTAGAGACGGAGTCTTGCTTTTTGCTCAGGCTGGTCTCAAACCCGTGAGCTCAAGCTGTCCACCTGACTTAGCCTCCCAGAGTGCTGGGATTCCAGGTGTGAGCCACCGCGCCCAGCTGTGTCAGTGGTTTTTATTAAAGCCAATCTGATGGATGTGAAAATGTGTGTCATTGTAGCTTTCATTTGCATTTCCCCAATGATTTTTTTTTCTTTTTCTTTTCTTTTCTTTTTTTTTTTTTTTTTTGAAACAGAGTCTCATTTTATCGCCCTCAGTAGAGTGCTGTGCCATCACAACTCACAGCAACCTTCAACTCCTGGGCTTAGGCAATTTTCTTGCCTCAGCCTCCTGAGTAGCTGGGACCCAGTGATTTTTTTCTTAAGAAGATGGGCTCTTGTTCTTGCTCAGGCTGTTCTCAAACTCCTAAGCTCAAGTGATCCTCCCACCTTGGCCTCTCAGAGTGCTAGGATTACAGGTGTGTGCCACCATGGCTAGCTCATTTCCCTAATGATTAAAAATGTTGAGCATCTTTTCATGTGCTTATTAATTATTTGTATATATGCTGAAATGTATATTAAGATCTTTTGCCCATTTTTTGGTTTGGTTGTTTGTCTTTATTGAGATGTCTATTGTGGGTACAAGTTCCTTATTAAATACATGTTTTGCTAATATTTTTTTACCAGTCTGTTTTTTGTCTCTCATCTTCTTACTGGTATCCTTTGATGCATAAAACTTTTAAATTTTGCTGAGGTCCAGTTTTTTAATTTTGGGCAGTTTTTTTTGGGGGGGGCTACGGCTGGGTTTGAACCCGCCTCTTCTAGTATATGGGGCTGGCGCCCTACTCCCTTGAGCCACAGGCACTGCCCTTTTTCTTTTCTTTTTGAAGTCTCATGGCTCACAGCAATCTCAAACTCTTGGGCTTAAGCAATTCTCTTGCCTCAGCACCTTGAGTAGCTGGAACTATAGGCACCTGCTACAAACCCAGCTATTTTTAGAGACGAGGTCTTGCCCTTGCTCAGGCTGGTCTGAGCTCAGGCCGTCCACCTGCCTTGGCCTCCCAACATGCTAGGATTACAGGCGTGGAGCCACCATGCCTGGCCAACTCATTGATTTTCTCCTATTTTTTCCCCAAAAGTTTTAATTGTTTTAGTTCTAGCATTTGAGTCTGTGATTCAGTTTAAGTTAGTTTTTGTGCATGGGGATATGCAGTTGTCACAGAACTATTTATGGAAAAGCTTGTCCTTTTCTTCATTGGTTTGCCTTGGTGCCTATGCTGAAAATTGACCATAAATATAAGGATTTATTTCTGGACTCTTCTTTCTGCTCCACTGATCTGCATATTTATCCTTGTGCCAGTAACTTGTAGTTGTTTTTAAAAATTTGTCCAAAAACAGACTGAGTGGGGCAGCAATGGTTTAAAGGTCAGAGGTGGAAGAATCTTAAGAAAGAACCATTTGGGGTTCCTTTGATCCCTGTAGGTACCTGGTGTCATGTAGAACCTGTAGCTTCAGGCCTAGAGGAGCTAATGGTACAAGGATGTTTTCTATGATGCTCATTGGAGTGTAGAAAGTCAGATGGAGTCATCTGCTTTTACATAATAGTACAGAACACCCCAGAGCTAAGGAGAAACTGGCCAGCTATTTTCCTAGAGGCCTAAAAGTATAACATTATGTTGGTGAATTTCCCAAGGTCCACGAATTAACCCACAGGGTCTCAGAAACCTGATTTTGTCAACATATCCATAACAAATTGAATCTATTTATGGGGAAAGACATACTTACTAGACCCCCAAGACAGCAGTATAAACTAGAATGCAATTTTGTTAGTTTATAATGAAAAAAATAAGTATCACTAAAAGTGGAATATTCTAAGTTCTTAGGACTTATCTTTGCCCACAGAGGATCTAGCCTAATCAACAACTGCATGGTCAATGTGACCGGAACAAGGGGAATCATCTCAGAGGTTTCCAAATTACTTTTCTGTAAGAAATCTTCGTGAAATAGCATGAAACTTGTGAAGGCTTTGCTAGCAAAGCCCACATCTTGGACTACGCCTGAGACCTCTTCTCTCAGCTCAGGGGCTATAGAAACCACTGAGCTGGATGACTAGTGTCTAAGGGTCTCAGCTGAATCTCATTTGCTGCTTCTACTTGGAACTTAAATGTTCAGTTTGTTGGTACTACTACTTTTGTCCTAGTGTTTTCTTTGGCTCTGTGGCTGACTAATCCCCTCTCAAGGACACCACTTTCCTTTAGATATGTTATCATATTTGCTCAATATTACAAGTCTGGAAGCTGTTAGAGTGTGAGGTTGGTATGCAAGTGAGAAAGCTTTCTCAGGCAGAGTTTAGGATAGAAAGAAGCACAAAGTTTATTTACTACTTTGAAGAAAAGGAGGCCATAGCTCCAGAAATGAGAAATAAGACAGGTGTTGGCCCTGCTACTGCAGCCCAATTAACAGAAGACAGCTGAGAAGCTGTTGAGTTTGTCCTTTTCTCTTGTAGCAGGTTGATAACAGGAATTGGTTTCTTCTTTCTTCTTGGCCATAGATTGACAGTGGGAGACACCTGGTGTCATCTCTCCTTGAGGATGTAGGGGAGGCTGTACCCTGCTTGTCAAGCCTATTTCAATAAACTCAAAAAGCTTTTTACAGGCAGTGAATTTCTGGTGACAGTCTATCAGATAGTCTGTCCTTTCCTCCCCTTTCCCTAGACTCTTTTTCCCTTTGGAATGTGAATTGACCAGCTCTGGCAAATGTTCATGAGGATTTATTCCTTCTTTTGTCTGTTCAGCTTCTTTTTCTTTTTTTTGAAACAGTCTCATTTTGTCACCCTCAGTGTGTGGTGTCAGCACCTCACAGCAATCTCAAGCTCAGCCTGCCAAGTAGCTGAGACTATAGGTGCTTGCCACAACACCTGGCTATTTTTGTTGTTGTTGTTTGGCAGGCCTGGGCCGGGTTTGATTGAACCTGCCAGCCACGGTGTATGTGGCTAGCGCCCTAGCTGCTGAGCTACAGGCTCTGAGCCTGATCAGCTTCTTTTAATTGCTAGGTAAATGTCTCTGGAGGAGATATACTTATGTCACTAACCTTAGAGGCAGGGTTCATGCTACTCTAATTGGCTGCCAGTTAGAAATTTGTTTTTCCTTATTAGCAGATGCCATCTGACCCCTTAAGGTACCTGCCTATGCTCTGACCCAATTCTGTGTTGGTTTAATTTTTAGAGATAACCTTCTTTCTTTTACTTCCAAGCTCGTGAAGGTGTCTTGCTATGCTTTTGCTTTGATTTTGTAGTAATTTGGGGTTGGCTTGGTGGATTTGGTATGAATTTCTTAGAGGAGAGCATTTTGTCAGTGACAAAGAAGGAAAAGAACTGATTTCTACAGTGATTACAGAGCAGCTCTCCAGTGGGGGGGCCCTCAAGGCTTGTTTTCCATGGAATCTTTGAAATAGGTCTTTGACATTGTTCTTCTTCCTCCCATCAGGGAACAAATCACACCTGAGAATCATCCCCTGGCTCAGAGCAGCAGCCCTAGGGGAATCTGTTCAGAGTCTATGGAGGAAAGAAGGATACAGCCTAGAAGGGTCAGGCAGGCCCTGCTGGGGCTGCTTCAAGTGCTACCTGCCTGACAGTCCTTGGAGACAAACTCTGATCCTAAGGCTCAGCTGTTGTATCTGTTCTGAACCTTTGCAGTTCCTGTGATGGAATAATAAAGTCCCAAGTCTGGACTAAATGCACTGAGTCCTCAGGGCTTTGAGAACAGCACTCAGGGTCCTCTGTGTTCCAGCCCAGCTGGACCCATCTCTATGCGCTTCTTATGTGGGAAATGTCTCAGAGGAACTTGTGCCACACGCTTGATGAGTGTCCTTTTCTCATCTTTCCCTTCTTTATTCTTTACAATTGAAAAAATACAAAAAAAAAAAGGGCATGAAGAGGATATTTTTGGTAAAATGGGAGCTAACTCAGTAGTATGGTGAGATCCTCTAGCAAGAGTTGACAGACTTCAACTGTCTGGCACAATTAACCAGACAGAACCCAGTAGCTGAGCAAAAACCCAAGGCACATGCAGATTTGGTGATTATACTTCCCACCCATTGTATAAGGTCTGGCTGACATTTTGGGGGAGTGCAAAAAGGTTAATATATGGGGTGGTGCCTGTGGCTCAAGGAGTAGGGCGCTGGCCCCATATACAAGGGATGGTGGGTTCAAGCCTGGCCCTGGCCAAAACTGCAAAAAAAAAAAAACACCGTTTTAACATATGAAAAATGATAGGTTGGGCCTATAATTCTAGCACTCTGGGAGGCCTCAATGGGTGGATCATGAGAACTCAGGAGAGACCAGCCTCAGTGAGACCTGGTTTCTATTAAAAATAGAAAAATTAGCCAGTGTTTTGGCAGGAGCCTATAGTCCCAGCTGCTTGGGAGGCTGAGGCAGAAGGATCACTTAAGCCTAGGAGTTTGAGGTTGCTGTGATTTAGGCTGACACAATGGCATTCTACCCAAAGCAATGGAGTGAGACTCTTGTCTTTTTAAAAAAAAAAAAAAGAAAGAAAGAAAAGAAAGAAAAAAGACCAGGGAGGATGGTTCATACCTGTCATCCTAGCACTCTGGGAAGCCAAGGCTAGGGGTAGGGAGGATCACTTGATCTCAGAAGTTAAAGACTAGCCAGAGCAACATTGTCTCTACTAAAAATAGCCAGGTATTGTGGCGGGCACCTGTACTCCCAGATACTCAGGAAGCTGAGGCAAGAGGATCGCTTGAGCCTGAGTTTGTGGTTGCTATGAGCTATGTCGCCAGGGTACTTTAACAGAGTGAGGCTCTGTCTTAAAAAAAAAAAAATTATAATGATAGGTATTTTGTAGAAATTTACTTAAGTGGCATGTATATGTTAGTGTCTGTTTGATTTTATATTTCCTATAAACATCTCCATTCATTAATACACAGTACAGCAAAACTGAATTGGGTTCTTTGTCTTACGCTTGTATTACTTGAAATACATCTTAAATTATGGAAAGACAAAAAGAATTGAACAAATACATACATCTCCATTTTCTCATTTTTTTGAGACAGAGTCTTACTTTGTCACCCTCAGTAAAGTGTCATGTCATCACAGCTTATGGTAACTTCAAACTCTTGGGCTCAAGTGATTCTCTTGCCTCAGCCTCCCAAGTAGCGGGGACTACAGGTGCCTATTTTTAGAGATGAGGTCTTGCTCTGGCTCAGGCTGCTCGAACTCATGAGATCAGGCAATCCACTTGCCTTTATCTCCCAGAGTGCTAGGGTTACAGGCGTGAGCCACCTCACCTGGTCCATTTCCATTTTCTTTAGAGAATATGGAAACCAAATAATGACTTCCCCCTTGGAGCAATAAAATGAAAAATGGAAAATATGAATTTCACTTTAAGTAGTTTGTATAGCAAACAGCTTGCTCTGAACTATTATGAGTGGCATCCACTAAGCTACTTAGAGAAGCTGCAAATGTAGAAAACAGAGATGAGAACCTGCCTGCTAATCCAGGGGGCTGAGACAAACAAAACTGAAAGTTGACTTTATTCAAGGCCAAATATATCCTTGTTCCTCAGTGTATGAAAGATGTTGATATATTTTAAGACAACAATATGTGCAATGTAATCTTTAGTTGCTAAGCTTTAGCAGATTGTAGGAGGTCGCTGAACATGGTTGGTTTGTTTTTTTTTTTTTTTGAGACAGAGTCTCACTATGTTGCCCTCGGTAGAGTACGTGGCATCAGAGCTCACAGCAACCTCTAACTCTTGGGCTCAAGTGATTCTCTTGCCTCAGCCTCCCAAGTAGCTGGGACTACAGGTACCCGCCACAACACCCGGCTATTTTTATTGTTGTAGTAGTTGTTGTTTGGCAGGCCCTGGCCGGGTTTGAACCTGCCAGCCCCGGTGTATGTGGCTAGCGCCCTAGTTGCTGAGCTATAGGTGCCAAGCCAATTGAACGTGTTTTTGAAGAAATAATATTAGTTAATGAACTCTGTACCTGTTATTTTTCACTGAAGGTGTAAGTGACATTAACAGGGTGTTCATTTATTTTCTTTCCTTTTGTTTGTTCTCCACAAAACTATAAAAAGCCAGATTGCTTTTGAGGGTTTGAGATGACTGCTATGATTCATTATTTTCCATTTGCAAAACAGTTCACAAAACAAATAATAAAGAAATGTTAAGTGCTTCTGATAGTTTCAAAAATATAAACATAACCAAGAGTGTTTCTCAACATTCTTGGCAACTGGCAGCTCCTTGACTTTCTAAATGTATAGGGGAAGACAACTGATAGGGCTCCACTGTATAATGTTTTAAACCTGCACTAACATTCTGGATTTTTTTTTTTTTTTGAGACAAGAGTTTCACCTTGTTGCCTTTGATAGAGTGCTGTCACATCGTAGCTCACAGCACCTCAAACACTTAGGCTCAAGTGATTGTCTTGTCTCAGCCTCCGAAGGTAGCTGGGACTACAGGTGCCTGCCACAACGCCCGGCTATTTTTCAGAGATGAAGTCTTGCTCTGGTTCAGGTTGGTCTCAAACCTGTGAGCTCAGGCAAACCACCCACCTCAGCCTCCCGGAATGCTAGGATTACAGGCATGAGCCACCTTGCTTGGCCTCAACATTCTGGATTTTGGCCTCTTCCCCCTTTTCCACAGATGTCATTAAAGCTGTTGGCACCATTCCTGTACATGAGAAAGAGGAAAATCTCTGGCCTAGAGTAGCCATCTTCTCTTCAGTGACACCTGGAGTCCTCCATGGGGTGAGGCTCAGCAGTCTGCAGATTGTGGATCTGGAATCCCAGAAGACCACATACACCTCAGGTACTGCAGCATTTCATCCCATACTGGCTCCTTCAGCTAGCACTTGCCTCCCGGCCCAAATCTACCACATGAAAACTTAGTTTAACTCTCTGTGCCAGATGCTGGGGAAACACAGTGAATAAGAGGTAAACCCTGGCCTCAAAGAGCTCCTGTTCTGGGGTGGGGAAAGGCAGTCCCAGGAGCCAGCACCCACCAGCTGAGTAGACAATAACAAGATGGGTGGGAAGGTGAAATGTGATTCATCCTGCTTGGAACTGGTGGGAAGGGACTTGGGACCAGCAGCTTTTCTCCTTTGCCCTCCTTAGGTGTCAGTGACAGTGAAGAGCTCAGTAGCCTGCAGGTCCTAAGCGCAGACACCTTCGCCTTCTGCTGCACCTCAGGCCGGCTGGGGCTTGTAGACATCCGCCAGAAGTGGGCACCACTGGAGAACTGTAGCCTCAGCTCTCAGTCAGGTGGAGAAAGATGGTGTGCAAAAGTTGGGGGCAGGGGCCTGGGCCCTGGGCCTAGCATTGCCAGCCTCAGCTCAGATGGGCAGCTCCGCCTCTTTGACTCCCGGGTTCTCTGCCATCCTGTGAGCTCAGTCCACTGCCCAGTGTCCACACCTAGTCCCAACCCAGAGCTGCTGCAAGTGACATGGGCCCCAGGCTTGGACAACTGTTTGGCCATATCAGGTACTGCTGTGCAGGATTTTCTGCTATTTGATCTCTGTTTTTCAGGGGACTACTGGGTGCTTACAAAGGAGCCTGCAGCCCCCTAACAAATCTGGCTCCAGAAGTTAAAGTTGCCCTTCACTCTGTCTGTTCGACTTTCACAGGATAGCAGCTGGCCTTTTCTAGCCTAGCAGGGTTTCAGGTCTGAGGTCAGTTGAAAGACCTGCAGATAGTAAGATGCTGGGATAGCCATGGGGCTGTCTCAGGTGGTGACAGGATCTTAGCCTACTGGCTTTTCAAATTGTAGCAAGCCAGCTAAGTTAGTGGGCTTCTGGATCTGGTCCAGTGGGATCTACTTGCCTGGGGGTATTTAATTAGGGCATCTAAAAGCCAATGGAGAGGGTCCGTTGAAAGGAAGAGAGATCGGAAGAAGTGTTGAAAAAGCAAGAAAGGAGAATTGGAAGTGCTGGGATCCAGGCTTGGGTTGAGGGATTGATTCTTTAGTAACAGGAAGAGAACAAGATGGGATGAATGTGTATAGCTAGATTGTGTGAGGAACATGAGCCCCTCCAAGGGCTTCTGTTGCCCCCATCTGCTGAGAGGGACTCAGAGGTGGGACTAGAATTTGAGGTACTTGAAAAGTCTTGAAAAAGACTCTTAAGCTTCAGTTTTCTGTGGAATATAATAACAGTACCTATTTCATAGAGTTGAGAGGATTAAAAGGTGTCATCCATGTCAAGGATTAGCTTTGGGCCTTACGCATATTAGGGGTACAACAGATGTTTGTGGTTACATGCCACAGGGACTTATCAGCTACCAACATTAAGGCAGATGTTACATGCCCTCCAAATGGCCTTTAAGTATTTTGATTCTTTGTCCTCTAGCTTGTTTTGGTATTATAGAACAAATTATAAAAAGTATTTTAGGGCTGGGTACAGTGGCTCACATCTCTAATCCTGGCACTTTGGGAGGCAAAGGTGAGAGGACCATCCAGGCATTTAAGATCATCCTGAACCACATGGTAAGACCCCATCTCTACAAAAAATAGAAAAATTAGTGGGGTATGGTGGCATGTGTCTGTGGCCCTAGCTACTTGGGAAGGTGAGGATCACTTGAGCTCAGGAGATTGCTGTGAGCTGTGATGATGCCACTGCACTTTACCCAGGGTAAGAGTTAGACCCTGTCTCAAAAAAAAAAAAAAACTGTTTAGGGATTCAGTATCAATCCTGTCTTTTCTGTGTTCTTCCTCAGGTTTTGATGGGACAGTCCAGATCTATGATGTAACGTCTTGGAATGGAATAGGGAGGCAAATAGAGCCTCTCTTCACTCATAGAGGTCATATCTTCCTAGATGGAAATGGGATGGACACTGCCCCACTGGTCACCACCCACACCTGGCATCCCTGCAAACCAAGGACTGTGTTATCAGCAGCAAGTGATGCTTCTCTTCATGTGTGGGACTGGGTGGACCTTCATGCCTCCCAGTGACACCAGCAGCATCTTTCTGTCTAGGCCTCTAGGAAGAAGAGGAGCTACTGTGGTGGCAGAGGAATTGATGTAGGACTCAACTGACCACAATTCCTTGTTGTCAGCTGTGTGGCCTTTGGCAGGTCAACCAGCCTCTCTTAGCCCCAGTTTCCATTATTTATAAAATCAGGATAGTGACAGCTACCTTGCAGGGTTGTTGGGAATGTTAGAAGGAATGCATGGCATAGTAAATTATTTGGTAGACACTATTAGATCTGGGAGCCCCATTTCCCCTAAGTGTAAGATGGCAGTGCTTTGTCCCTGTATTCTTCACTGTATCATAGTGAGAATCAGAAGAGCTAATGAATGCAAACATGTTTCTGTGGACTTTTCTACAGAATAAAAAAATGCATAAGGACCAGTAAACATGAAAAATGACAACCCCAGTAGCAATAAAGGAAATAGCAATTAAAACAACATTATTCCATTTTTACTTTCCTAACTGCCAAATGTGACAAGTATTGCTTTGAGGCCAGGCACAGTGACTCAGGCCTGTAATCCCAGCATTTTGGGAGGCCAAAGTGGGAGGATCACTTGAGTCTAAGAGTTCAAGATAAGCCTAGGCAATATAGTGAGACCCCCTTCTCTACAAAACATTTTTTTTAAAAAGCAAAACAAACATTTATTTGAAAGCTGATACAAGTTACAGGATATGAGGGACATTTCCTTTTGGGATCCCATAGCAAATATTAGTACACTCAAATCCTCATTAAATATAATTTCTCACTATAGCTTTAGCTATACCGTGGTGGGCACCTGTAGTCCTAGTTACTTTAGAGGATGAGGCAGGAGAATCCCTGGAACACTGAAGTTTGAGGTTGCTGTGAGCTATGATGCCATGGCACAGACTAAGACTCCCATCTCTCTCTCACAAACACACACAAAGAATCACCTAGGGTGGTGCCTGTGACTCAGTGAGTAGGACGCTGGTCTCACATACTGAGGATGGCGGGTTTGAACCCAGTCCCGGCCAAACTGCAACAAAAAAATAGGCAGGCGTTGTGGTGGGTGCCTGTAGTCCCAGCTACTTGGGAGGCTGAGGCAAGAGAATCGCTTAAGGCCAGGAGTTGGAGGTTGCTGTGAGCTGTGATGCCATGGCACTCTACCCAGAATGATGGTTTGAGGCTCTGTCTCACAAAAAAATAAATAACAAGAAAAAAGCAAAAGAAACAACAGGACTCCACTTCTGGAGTTTCTGACTCAGTAGGAGTATTAGGGTTCAGTGTGAGAAGTGATCTCACACACATGCATACATAGATTTGGTACCAGCATCCTTGCTTTCCTAGCTCTGGGAGCTGGTCAATCTCCATCAGGCTGTTGGCTTCACCCCTGGGGCTAGAGCCTGAGGCCCAGGGGGCAGACAGCTGGGAAGTACAGATGGAGGTAGAGTGTGGCAAGCAAGGACCAACTCTCTCTAGTCTTAAAGCAGCACTCTTCATGGAACACAGGAAAGGGGACTCCTTGGCTATAAAGCAGAGCAGAGCCTCAAGATGGTCTTTGTGAGCCATTCTGGACTACTGGTTCAATGCAGAGTCAGTCAATATTTGAGGACAGGAAATAAACAGTGGCCTACTCCACTTGGAGGCATAGGAGGAAGTGAATTCTGGGGAATTCAATTTCACTCCTGCCAAATTGCCAGTGGTAAAGCCACCACAGTTTTGAGGTGGAGCCCAAGAATTTGCATTTCTAATGTATACTCAGGTGAGGCTGATGCTGCCATCGGGGCCTGGGAGGATGTTTCTTGTGCCTGTCTCAAAAATTTCACATCTATGTAGCCTCTGCCACTGTATGCCAGTTGTACCCCCAAATTTAGTGACAACTACAAATTATCCCTCACCCCTAAATTTCCAAAATGCTTGTAAAATCTGTATGTTCCACAAGAAGAAACTTCTGGGGTTCTCAACAATTTTAGGAATATGCCCCAGAAAATCCCTAAAGAGAGAAAAGATGATCAGTTGTTCATGTTGACGTCAGCAAGGGATCCATCCAGCTCAGGTGCAGGCAGGAAGGGAGAAGGCTCAGTGACAAATAAATGAGAGAAACTTCAGCAACTGTTCTGACCTCACAAAAATTCAAGGTAAAATAAGAAAAAGATTAAGCAACAATTTGGAGAAGATCAAAGAAGCAAGAAATCCAGCAACAGAAGTCTACCGTGACCACACACCTAAGTCACATTCTCCAGCCCCTCCAATTATAGGGCTGCCATTTTGATCACACTAAGTTGGTCAGAAATCTGGGTAGAGGAAGAAGAGTACTATTTATTGGATCTCCTAAAATTCTAACAAAATGACTGGGCCCACCAGGGAGAGGAGCTCATGTTAACTATGATCAGAAACCCTCTTAACATTTGGGGTTTTCTGTGCTCACGTTTTCTGTTAATTTGGTTAAGTGATAATGAATCATAGTTAAAATTCAGATAGACATTTAGAGGTTAAAATCATAACACTCATAATTCCATTATATCTTTTTTCAAGGTAACAAACATAAGATTTAAACTCAGGGGAACAGGCTTTCCTGGGTGTTACCTGTTTCTCTGTTCTTGTTCCAACTCCTGTCTTTTTAGCACCACAGAATGAGCCCAAATGTTAAGTGCCTGGGTTTCTTTCCAGCCTTTGTCTGAGAGTTACAGGGATGACTCTATTGGTGGAATACAAGCTTCTACTAATTTCCTGCTGGACAGGAAGTTTTCTGAATCTCCTTGAAATCCTGGAGATTGATACTCCAGATCTCTTCACCTCTCTGCACCCTGGTGACCCCATCTGGCTGGAGAACTGGAAGGTCCTCAGGAAAAAGCAAGGAAGGACATGAAGTTATGTAGTTAATGACTCCCTCCTTTTACTCCTTTGAGGAATTGAAGACAGTGTGCTCACTGATTTAATAATAATGATGATGATAATGAAAACTAATATTTGCTGACTGCTAACAATGTGTCGGAATCCTCATTTCAGCCCAGTGAGGTGGATACCATCACAATGTCCATTTCATAGATGAGAAAATAGAAGCTCAGGGTGTTCAACCAACTTTCCCAAGAACAGACAAGTCTTTAAGTGGCAGACTGCTATAAATAATATAGGGTGAGTTCTTATTTATGGGGTACTCTTTTTTATAGACAGAGTCTGGCACTGTCACCCTGAATAGAGTGACATGGCATCATCATAGCTCACTGCAACCTCAAACTCCTGGGCTCAAGCAATCCTCCTGCCTCAGCCTCCCAAGGAGCTGGAATTGTAGGTGCCTGTCATGATGCCGGCTAGTTTTTTGTATTAATTTGTTTTTTATATATTAAGATGGGGTCTTGCTCTGTTGCCCAGGCTAAAATGCAGTGGTATCATCATAGCTCACTGCAACCTCAAACTTCTGGGTTCAAATGTTCCTACCACCTCAGCCTCTGAAATAGCTGGGACTACAGCTGTACACTACACCCTCCTAATCTTATTTTTTGTATAGACAGGGTCTTGTTATGTTGCCCAGGACAGTTCTGAAGTCCTAACTTCCAAGCCATTATCCCACCTCAGCCTCCCAAAGTGCTAGGATTATAAGCATGAATCACCACACCCAGCCCTAGGGGGTATATTAGATGGAAAGAAATAGCTGAAATGACTAAAATTCTAATCTTTCTCTCCTGTTTCCATGTATATCTATATCTATCAATCTAATATCCTTTCTGGGCTCAAGAAACATTTTTTTTATCTCACCGAAGACTTGAACCTATAGTTCAACATAATGGCACACTTAAATTATGTTGATCAAAAAAGAGAATGGAAGAATGAATATACTTACTTTGCTTTGAACTCCTTTCAAAAATAATTAAATTAATTAATGATCTTTTTTTTTTTGAGACAGAGCCTCAAGCTGTCCCCCTGGGTAGAGTGCTGTGGCATCACAGCTCACAGTAACCTCCAACTCCTGGGCTCAAGCGAGTCTCCTGCCTCAGCCTCCCAAGTAGCTAGGACCACAGGCACCCGCCACAACGCCCGGCTATTTTTTGGTTGCAGCCATCATTGTTGTTTGGCGGGCTGAGGTTGGATTTGAACCCACCACCTTAGGTGTATGTGGCTGGCACCTTAGCAACTTGAGCCACAGGTGCCGAGCCTTAATGATTTTTTAAAATTTCTGTGGCACACCTAAGATCCTCTTATGGCACATGAGTTGAAAATCACTGGTCTGGAGTAATGAATACTACAGAAACCCTATGGCTAACTTTGACTGTAAAGGAAAAAGTTACTCTTACCTAGCAAGATCCCATTTGCAGAATTCTGCCAGGTTAGGTTCCAGTAGTTTCTGTGCCTCCTGGGAGACATATACAGCCACATCACCAAATACCACCAGCTTCTGATAAGACGACACCCTTCCTCAAAACACTATGCCTTGGGACAAAATGCCTCTATAATGCTGAGTCAGAAGGCAAGTGACAAAACAGAAGAAATACAAAAGTGAGTTTTCTTTGGCTTTTAAATGCAATAAATGGGGCAGGAGGAGAGAAAGACAGAAAGAAGCTAACATTTACTGAACACCTATGCCCTGAAACAGAAGCTTTTCCGATTTGCTCAAAGTTACACAACTAGTACAGATCATAGCTTATACTTGAACTCAGGGCTATCTGCCTCTGAATGTTTTTGTTTTTGTTTCTGTTTTCCCTTACTACATAATACTGCATGCTATGTGAACAAGATACAGATATAGAAAGAATCAATAAGTAACTTTAAGGCAAACAAACAAATCAATATAATCTGACAATTTCAGGGTCAAGGAAAAGAAGAATTGTAATGCAATCTTTTGCTACGACAGCCATGGGACTGCCTATATAAATAAGGAGCTTTGGAAAGTCCTTTGTAGACTGGTGTAATTTTGGAGCCTAATCTGTAAAATTACTGGGCCTCCTTGTTGGATAAAATTCTTTTGGAATTTCTGAGCAGCAAGAGAGTTGGCTGTAGAGAGCCCACTCAAGTAGTAAAAGGTGACCTGAATAGAGAAAAGTCTCACCTGGGAGCTGTGCACCATCGCCTGATCACCACTGCTCTTCTCTGTAGGAATTCCCAGAGCCTAAGGATCAGGCATGGCTGGGGAAAGAGAAAGGAGCCATTAAAGTGCATGGTTATCAGCTCCTCTTGGGGACTGGCCTAAGTTTGGAAACTGAGGAGTCTTCTTCCTTATCTTAGTATCTGCTTTCATTTCTCAAAGGAAGGTTGGTGAAAATCCCAAACAATACTTCTCTAAGCTGATGTTTCTAGGTTTTCCCTTCTATATCCATGCAAGTACTGTCAGAGTTTTATAATTTTATTTTTCATTTTGGTTTGGGACACTTACAGGATTACTGCACCTGGCTCGTGCCTGTGGCTCAAGTGGCTAAGGCACCAGCCACATAAAACTAAGGTGGCAGGTTCGAATCCAGCCCAGGCCCACCAAACAATGACGGCTGCAACCAGAAAATAGCTGGGCATTGTGGCGGGCGCTTGTGGTCCCAGCAA